TCCCCCTCCTCCTCCTCCTCCTCCTCCTCCTCCTCCTCCTCCTGTCTTCTTTCTTTTCCTTGCCCAGCGTTCCCAGCAGGCACCCGCTCTTTCCCTCTCCCAACCGTGTCTGAGCAGGTCCTTCCCCATCAGGGCAGATGCAGCAGCCTCCTGTCTGTCTCCTTGCTTCTGTTTTTGCCTCCACCCTGTTTATTCTCCACCCAGTAGCTGGCGTCATCATTTTGCCCATGTTTAACTGTGTGTGTGTGTGTGTGTGTGTGTGTTTTTTTTTTTTTGGTCTTTTTTTGTGTTGTTGATTTGTGGGAGTTTTTTACATATTCCGGATGCAAGTTCTTTGTCTTCATATGTGTTGCACGTATTTTTCTCCCTACCTATGGCTTGCATTTTTTAGTTCCTTAATGGTGCTTTTGATGAGCACATGAAGTCTACTAATTACTTTTTTTGTGGTTAGAGCTCTTTGTGTTCTAAAAAATGTTGGCCTCTTTATGTTCCATCTCTGCCGCCTTCCCTGTTTCGCTCAGAATAAAAACTGAAGTCCACGCACAGCCTCTAAGCCATGCATGCCCAGCACCTGCCCTCGCTCCGACCTCACCTCTGGCCACTTACCCCTCTTCTGCTTCAGTCACGCTGGCCACCTCGCTGCGCCTGGGCCACTGCAGGCACGTCCTGCCTCAGGGCCTTTGCTCTGTGGCTACTCACCCCTGGAATCCTTGTCCCTGCTGGCTGCTTGCTGACTCCTTTACCTCCTCCAGGCAGCTGCTCATCTCCCCAGCTCAACGAGTCTCATCCTCACCACTTTATTCTTTGCAACTTTCCCTTCCCTTCTAGCTTTTTTGACTCTCTTTCCCCTACCCTTTGTTCCCCATAGCACCTTCAAGTGCACAATCCTGTCTATTATCTAGCGTCTCTACCACTAAATGGAGGCTCCATGAGGTCAAGCATCCTTGTTTTGCTCACCATTGTTATCCAAACTTCATAAACATGTGCTGGAGGCTGGGCGCGGTGGCTCACGCCTGTAATCCCAGCACTTTGGGAGGCCGAGGCAGGGGGATCACGAGGTCAGGGGATGGAGACCAGCCTGGCCAACATGGAGAAACCCCGTCTCCACTAAAAATACAGAAATTCCCCAGGCATGGTGGCGTGTGCCTGTAACCCCAGCTACTCGGGAGGCTGAGGCAGGAGAATCACTTGAACCAGGGAGGTGGGGGTTGCAGTGAGCCGAGATCATGCCACTGCACTCCAGCCTGGTGAGAGGCCGAGGCTCTGTCTCAAAAACAAAACAAACAAAAAAACAAAAACATTTGTTGGATGGATTGATTGGATGACTCACTCCCAGCCATTGGGGTTCAGGGCCCGTGACTATGCGTCCTGCCAGTGACCCCTGAGTCCTGGGGTGTGCGTGGCTGCCGTCTGTTCAGAGGAACCTCCCGGAAATACACTGTCCTTCCACCTGCGCTCCTGTCCAGCTTCCTCCGAAATCCCAGCCAGGCCCCCTCTCTAACTCAGGCCACTGTGTTAAGGAAAGCCTCCCTCTCATTCACCTGCCCACGGCCATGTGCTCTTTGTCATCTGAGGCTTGTTTCTCTTCTGTGCCACAGTGAACTTTGTGTTTGTTTCCCAGAAGACGAGTTTTTCAGCGGTGAGAATGGAGTGGATTTGCTGATTGAAGATCAGCTCCTGAGACACAACGACCTGCTGGCCAGTGCCACCCGGAGGCCGGCAGCCACCCGTCAGGGACACAGCACTGCTGCAGCAACCGACCTGAATACTCGGGCCGCAGCCTGGTCCTCAGCACTGCCACAGCCCTCCCCCTCAGCTCCCAGCATCGCCGACCCTGCCTCAGTGGGACCATTCTCAGCCACACTCCAAACAACCTCGGCGTCTCCAGATCCCACTAGGGAGTCAGTCCAGCAGCCATCTCCTCAGGTACCAGCCACCACCGTGGCCCACACAGCCACCCGGCAACCCACAGCCCCAGCTCCTCCGGCAGTGCCTCCCAGGGAGGAGCTGATGGAAGCTACGCACACAGCCCCCCTGCCTCCCACCACGGTCAGAACAGACTCAATGGGGAAAAATGCTCCTGCCAGGCAGCAAACAACCCCTGCCAGTCCCACGCTGAGCCCCGAAGAAGAAGATGACATCCGGAATGTCATAGGTAAGTTCATTGTACCTGGCCTTGGTCTCCTGATCAGCTCAGGTAAGAGGCCGAGCCTGAAAATACGTTGAGAGGAGGAGAGGCCAGCTGGTCAGAGCTCCCCATGGGAATGGCAAGTGGAGTTATGCCTTTGACCAACGATTAGTTTTAACACCTAGAGTTTATGTGTTATGAACATGTGCCAGTGGCAAGAATGGGACTCTTTTTTCTAAAATATATATGTAAATTAATGAAGCCAAGATTTGCTTTCATGAGGCAGTTTTATAAATATTTGTTGAGTGCTTTCTGTACACTAGCCTTTATGATGGGTGTTGGGGTATCCAGTGATGAAATAGTGAATTTTTCTGCCGTAATGTTGCCAGGCCACAAAAGAACAGAGGGTTTTTGCTGTGGGGGAAGTCCCAGATTTGTAGCAGAGTGAGGGCAGGGAAATACCCAGTGCAATGGGCCCCAGCGCCAAATCATGAGCCCCACCCATGGAGAGCACAGAAGCATCATGGCACCGTGTGACAAGGCTGTGGCAGAGAAATGGAGAAACAGGGAAAGGAAAGAAGGAATATTAGCTTGGCCTGGCTGCCAGGAAGGCTGGGGAAACTTTTCTAAGGAAGTGTCATTTGAGCTGGGATTTGAAGGATGAATAGGAGTTTTCTAAGCAGAGAAGGGAAGCCTCCTGACTGTTAGGTCTAAAAAAACGAGGTACGTTCCAGAAGCATGGAGAATGCCGCCCTATTCTTTGCCTGGGAGCTCCATGGCCCAAGAGAACTCAGAGCAGTGAAACAGGAAAGTAGGGAAAGAAGGGAACTGAAACAGGAAAAATGGGAGCTAGTTACAAATGTCCTTCCAGAGAGAACTAAACCAAGCGTTCATTAAATCACCACTGAAAAATAACACTATTGAGTCATAATTTCATCAAATATTTGTTGAAAAATACACTTGATTTGACAGAGGATATGGTTTGCCCTGTACAGATCTTTCCCTTTTCCCGTCTTGCACTCCCTTGGCAGCCTCGGTCCGAATCCCTCCTCAGCATAAGGTGCCAGCCGCTGCCAGAGGCAGGGTGGTGAAGGAGCACCTGCCGGGAGCCAGACACTCTGGTCTCCGCCATTCATAGCTGTGTGACTTTGGCCAAATCTCAGCCCTCTCTGGGTCTCAGTATATGCTATGGTTTTCTGCAGGAAGGTTATCAGGCCATGATACAGGAATGGATTCTTATTGGGTGAAAGTTTCAGAATAATGGCAGAGTGAGAGCAGGGAAATAGCCCATAAAAATGGTCCCCAGGGCAAAATCTCATGAACCCTGGCCTGGAGGAAGCTAAGCAAGAAGGCAGTTCTTGAGCTTCAGAGGCGAGGGTGGGAGCAGGAGAGAATGTTTAAGTTTCCGAAGCGGGGATCCTGCTGTATTTCTCTAGACTGCCTTGGGGTCGGAGCAGAGGATACTGTGTGTGCAAGCAAGCTCTGAGCAGCCTGGCCTTTGTGCTCTTGAGAACGGGCCCTGAAGCCAGCACTCCACCTCCTCCTCTGCCATGGGAGTGAACTTCCCCGGGCCCCCATACCTCCACCACTTCAGCTTCCTGTCACCTTCGGTGAGAGGGAATGTTCCTCCAAATATTTGAAATCCCTGTTGCCCCACCACAGTTTGCTAGAACACCAACAATGAAGATAGGCTGCAGGTAGGACGCACACACCTTGCACGCCATCAGGCAATGGTGTTTGCCGGCCTGGGAGCCTGTTCCCTTGCTAGCCAGGAGTGAGTCTTCCTCTGTCTCCATAACCTGCTAACCTGAGTCCCAGCACCCAGCCTCTCCCCAGCTGCCACCCCAGGGCTTTGCCACCAGTGGGCTTTTCTGCTGTTTTCAGGGGCTCTTAGAACTCTGTCCCCCTCCAGTAGCCTGATGGGATGCTGATGCCCAGAGAAACCCTGGGTCCCAGCATTCTACCTGGTGGTAGAAATGACATTTTCTCTTGTTCAATATTCTATTCAAGTAGAACAGCATCATCACGCTGAGGGTGTAAGGTTTGCTTCAAGACTAGCCTGTGGCATTTTTCAGAGGAGCTGGGGTTCTCACCTCTTATGTCGACAGCAGAAAAAATAGACATGGACACAGATGTAGTGTGTTCTTCAAATGCCAAGGGGTGAGAGGAGGGGTGGCCCAGAGAAGAAGAAAGCTTTGGCTGTCTAGGTGATGTGGAACTTCCATAAGTTTGTTTCTGGGAATTATTTTTAATAGTCTGTCACTGCCAAGGCCGGGCGCAGGGGCTCATGCCTATAATCCCAGCACTTTGGGAGGCCAAGGCGGGCAGATCGCCTGAGATTGGGAGTTCGAGACCAGTCTAATCAACATGGAGAAACTCTGTCTCTACTAAAAATACAAAATTAGCCAGGCATGCTGGTGCATGCCTGTAATCCCAGCTGCTTGGATGGCTGAGGCAGGAGAATCGTTTGAACCCAGGAAGCAGAGGTTGCAGTGAGCCGAGATAGCATCGGTGCACTCCAGCCTGGGCAACAAGAGCGAAACTCCATCTCAAAGATGGAATTTTCATACCCTAACATTCTCTGCAGCCCCCAAATTGCCTGTGCCTGGCCAAGGAAGACTGTGATGGGCTGACATCTCCCTGCCATCAGTTAAATAAAAAGCCTTTGGCTGAAATAGACATGGGCCACTGATTTGCTACCTGGGAAAGCTTGTTTGCTGTTTGATGAATCCAGCAATTTTGATTTTTGAGCTATTTAAGATGTGGTTGTAAACAGGGCTACTTTTAAAAGAAAGATTTTATCCCATGGTTTCCAATCCTGATTTTGTGATGTCCTAAAATGTCTACTGTTCTCCTCAGGAGAGTTATAACATTTTCAAAAAAAATCCAAAACAAGTAAATTAGAATGTATTTTTGGCTGTGCAAACAAAGTATTTGGCCATAGTGTAGCTGTAGGACAGAGGGAGGAAAAACGTTGTCAGTTATTGGAGCCGGGGCTTGGGTAGGATTGGTACCATCTGAGAAGGCACTCCTGCTCCAGACAGCCCTGGCTTTGGGAATAGCCCCGGCTACTGCAGAGAAATAAAACTGCCGCGTAACCAAGGCTCTGCAGATTCCCAGACTTCAGCAACTACAATTCCTCATGCATTTTGTAGAAGGGGTTGGTTTGGAGTTGCAGACAAAGAGGATAGTCAGTTTATGACAATACCAGAGAGAGCCTGGCTTCTATTTGAAACTAGGAAATATCATGAACTATGAAGAATGTCTCCATCTCCCCCACAAAGCAGATGACTGTAACCACCCCCAGGGCTTGGCCAGCTGTGCTGACCATGGGGCGTGATGGCCAGTCCTGCCTGCCTCGTGTCAGGGAGGCTGGTCTGGGGAGCCCAAGGAAGGCGATGCTGACGTGGGCTGGGGCAGCTTCCAGAGCCTCTGCAGAGCCCAAACATCTCCTCCGGCCCCAGCTCCTTGGCCCCAGCTCCACTGGTCTCAGTCTCTTTGCTGGTGCTCCTAACCCAGCTCCCTCAGACCACTGGGAATCCCATCATCGTATAACACAGGGGCCTCTGGTCCTAGAAGTAAGAATATAAAATGGATAAAATATATCCTTGCAGGTGGTAAAGGACTGAAGTCTAAGCCTCTTGATGAGGATAAAGAGTCGACTAGTATTAATAATTCATCCAGCACTACAGCATGCTTGACTGCAAAGATTCAAAGTGAGCAAGAAGTGGTCACTTTCCCAAAGGTGCAGGGAGGCAGCAGTGATTGAAGTGGCTGAGCACGTGGGAAGTGTGGCCAGCAACAGATGCATGTGGTCCAGGGGCGTCGCGTTGCTTCTGCCATGGGGCTCCTCTCCGAGGGTGTTTCCCAGCTCACCAGGCTCAGAGGGCAAAGAAGAACTCTCCAGGCAGAGCCAAGAGCATGAGCCAGGTGGGCAGGGAATGGAAGGCAGCCCAGGTGCGCCGGCACAGTTGGGGATGCATGAGGGAAATAATGGAATTCCAGGTAGGGAGCTGGGGCCTGATGAGGAAGGGAATGAGAAGTCGGGACTTGATGCTAAAAGAGAGAGGGCTCTAACATGGAAACAATGTTCAGATTCGGTCCAGTAATAAGTGCTGAGCACTCAGGACATGTGAGTGCTGTGGGAGTCAGGGATGCAAAGACAGAAACGGCAGGGGCCCTGCCCTGGAGCTGCGCAGCTTGTATGTGAGACTGGCACAGACACTGACTTCAGTGCAGGGTGGTGAGCACTGGAGGGCACAGGCCACAGTGGTCACAGAGGGAGACTGAGGCAGCCCAGGACCCTCTTCGGGAAAGAGATGCTGGCCTAGCTGTCTTGTAGCATGAGGGGAAATTAGGCAAAGGAGGAAAGTGGCATGGCAGTGAGAAGAAGCAGAGCAAACAAGGGCACCAGGGCCAATGCAAAATGACAGCGTGGGGCCCTGCTCAAAAGGCAGGGGAAAGTGCCATGCCAGCAGTAAATATAAAGCTCTTCTTCTTCCGTTCATGGTGTGTATGTGCCTCTCTCTCTGTCTCTCTCTCTGCTTATGGTGTTCTTTATTTGCTTTTCCATGCTTTTGTAAGTAAAGAAGTACAGACATGCCCCCATCTTATTGCGCTTTGCGTTGTACTTCGCAGATGAGAGTGTATTTTTCACAGACTGAAGGTTTGTGGGAACCCTGTGTCAAGCAAGTCCACCAGCACCATTTTCCAACCCCATGTGCTCACTTTGTGTCTCTGTGTCACATTCTGGTAATTCTTGCAATATCCCAAACTTCTTCTTTGTATGTTATGATAATCTGTGATCAGTGATCTTTGATAATACTGTTGTCATTATTTTGGGGTGTCACCAGCCACAGTTATATACGGCAGTGAACTTAATCTGTAAATGTGTGTGTTCTGATTGCTCCCCCAACTGGCCGTTCCCATGTCTGTCTCCCGCTCCTTGGACCTCCCTATTCTGTGACACACAATATTGAAATTAGACCAGTGAATAACCCTGCAATAGCCTCTAGGTGTTTAGGTGA